AGTTTCCCTGGAATCGTTTGGCTCTTGTTTCTTCATTAATACAAATTTCCTATTTCTTCTCCATTTCATCTACTGTTCATTACTACTCTGTTTTCTGTTTTCGGTTCCCTATCATTGTGTGTGTGACAAAAGCCGAGAAGTCATAGCGAAAGTTCAAAAGGACCATCAAGTTTTAGGTGAAAACCATTTCGGGAGAAAACCACACTATCTGACTAGCATAAAGTAATAGCCTCACTGAATGGTGATAGCAAAGTGGCAATTGGCAAGGTAGTGTGGTGTGTAAGCATAGCATTTTTGCTCGAACCTTCCCACCTAAATTGTTAAAAATCATCGAGTAATAATACAAAACATATACGTATACAGGGGCAGGTTCAAATGAAAGTGACAAAAGGTTAAGAATGTGAGAATGACGAAAAAAAGGATGAAAAAGTATAACAATATGGATTTTAAATCAAAAGGAATAAAATGCTCGTTTGTTGGTATAACTTCTTTGGCTCCAATTTTGGTTATATTTTTCCTATTCTCGATTGAAAATACCAGGGGGTAGGAGGGATTTTTGTATAAAAACGAACTTTTGTAATCACCTTTCGGTTGAGATATGCTGTTACCTTCTCAACCTTTTTGTCAATCTCATTTGAATCTCCCTGTATGTATATAATATATAAAATATACATACTTGCCGCCTCAAGCCATGCCTTGAAAAATATAGTAGACTCACCGTGGCTCCTAAGGCTTGAGGCTTGACCTTGTTGCCACACCACATATGGTGGTGTCAACCTTCAAGACCTTAACCACAAGGGTGGTGCCTGATTGGTTTGAGCTTGGCTCCAAAGGTCAAAAGTACTAGAAGATCCCAGGTTCAAATCCAAGGAGGAATAAAAATCCCCTTGTGGCCACGGAGGTTCAAATGCGGTGACTCCGGGCTATCTGCAAAGCAGGTGGTCGCCCTGGGATTAGTCGGCTCGCATAGCAGGTTGGATATCCAGGTTAATATTTAAAAAAAAAACTTCAAGACCTTAATATTGCCTTCAGCAACAATCTGATTGTATAAAAAAGTATTGCAAATCAATGTGCATCGTCCTCCCATAAATACACCTAATTGTGATCTAGATTGCACACTGCCCAATCCAACCGAGTTTCCTCAAGGTCGACCTCCACTGGTCAATTTCAGCTTGAAGGCATGCCAAACTCTCAAGCACTTTGTTTTAGAACACAACATTCTCTTGGCGCCACAATATGCTAACGGCCTTGACAGCATCAGCTACCTCAACATGTTGCCCTCGTATAACATACCAAGCCCAAAGCAGCAACCTGACTCAATAACCTCCAAATCAACTTAAAACCATGGTGGAAGTTTTATTGGTGGCTTACAACTTTGAGCTTATAAGGAGGCAGGAGCTCACAAATCTGATCTTCTATCCATTGTGGGACTGGTTGTTACAAAACTCCCCCACTTCAGTTCCTAATGTCCTCGTCAGCCTTCCTAGAATCCTCCTTGTAATCGGCGATGTGCGTTTCGCCTAAGATGTTACAAACACCTCCCCCCCCTGCTCAACCTCATCATGCTTGATGAGGTTTGCCCCACCATCCCAATGGTACAAGGATCTGCTCTGATACCATTTGTATCACCTCAATATCAAAGTAGCATCCTGAGTCACTAACCTCTAAATCAACTTAAAACTTTAAACCATCGTGGAAGGTTTATCGGTAGCCCACAACTTTGAGCTTATAAATAGCTCATGTATCTGATGTTCTATCCATGAAGGACGGGTTGTTACACCTTATACCTTTTTTGTTATGTCATCTACTTCCCCAAAGTCTTGCTTAAGTTGGTCGAGGTGCTCATTGACGTCGGCCATGGCCATCTTGTGCCATGCCAATCAGATTTCCATAGATGAGAGATCTTTAGATCCCTCGTTGCAAGCATATTTCTTTAGATTATTCATAGTAATGGCATCGTTGTTGCTAGCTATCATCCTTGCAACTTTAAAATATCAACCTAACTTTGATGCCACTTGTCATGGACTTGTTTCTTTCCAAGCTCTGTGCAACTTTAGCAACAATGATTAACATTTGGTTGTGGTGAGTAACCCTCAATAAGGGAACACTAGATTAATATGGAGAGCACAAAGGAACTAGAAGGAACTCTTGGTAGTTTATTCTTTCTCTCGGTACTTGATCTTCACACTTGATGAGACAAAAAGAGGATTATCCCTTTTGTAAGGAGCTCCACCCTCTAAGGAATTATCTGGATCAATGAAGCTTTAAGGCCTTATTACATTGTTTCTAAGACTACCAAGTATCATGAAGCTTCCACAAGATATAAGAGGGTCCTGTTAGCAATTCTTCTAGGATGCTCTTGATCTTTCCTTAGCCAATGCTTACTTGGAGGAACTCTAGGTATCATATCCTAACTTGATAAACTCGGCCCATGACACAAGGCTACACTAGGCTTCATAGCGAACAGCTTATAAGGCTATGATTACTTGATGAACTACTGTCTTTAGCAAAATTAAAAATGACAACAAAGGGGAATCTAGTGGATAAAAATGCAAGAACTTCACTAATGTGTAACTATGAAAAAGGGTACATAGGTAATTTAGGTTAAACTTTTGCTAAAAAGAAAAAGGAAATGCTGAACTCGACACAAGACACTCAAAACAAATATAGTTGATATCAAAAAAGTTTATATTTCCTTCTGAAAGGGAATAGTAAAGTTCAAGTTTATATTTCCTCCCTATAATTGATTTATCAGTTACCATCTCAATGAATTTCACTTGATATCAAAACAATTAGAGAACACAAAGTATTATGAATTATGAAATCGAAATTTCAAAGTTTTGCAGTATTAGGAGACCAACAGAAGGAGTTTTGACGTGTTGGTTAGTTTTCTAGTTTACTAGCACAAAGTTTCAAAGGGAATATGGGAATTATTTTTACTTCTATCTCGTTCACCTTGTGAAAATGCAGTTGCTCCAAGAGAAAAATAGGAGATGGAATAGTGAGCATATACTTGGATGCAAAAATTTGCATACGCAAAATTATTTTATCACAATCTGTCTAGACACAGTTCCTGTTCCTAGAATTTCCATTGGGGTTCGATCACATATTAGCTTCTTCCATCACTAATTTCAGATCCTTCGTGGTTTTTTTCTTGTTATGTTTGTTTTTAAAACATACTGCCACCATTCTCTATTTAGTTATCATCCTTTGACTTTAAATAACAAACAAGCTACTTTGAATTTCAAGATTGATATAGATATAATTACTTTTACAGGGAAAGTCAATGACAGCGTCATATAGTAAAATAAGTACTCTATGAAGAAAAGAGTTCTGTTAATATGTAATGACATGAAAATGATGATAAGCAATCACTCAACAAAATCTTAGGTGCAAACAAGCAATGTGCATGTTATAAAAAGCACTTTTTTATATGGTATAACTATTTCAAGTAAGAACGAGTGGTTAATATTTTTAAATTTTTTGAGTAGATTATGCGAAAACAAGTTCGCCAGGTCAAAAGATTACAACTAATAAAGAAAGGATGGAGTAAAATATATGCAAATAAACTCTATCTGTGGAAGTCAAGAGAATATGCATGACTAATTATTTGATAAGTAATACTCCCCAAAAAATGCAATATTCAATTTAAAGAGTAGTTCAATAAAAAAAATTGTGACTGTTTGTCAACCGTCCAAAATGCCCCTTATATGGACAAAGTAAAGAAAACTTGTGAACAACAATCAAAACTACTAATTTCAAGTAATGAACACTAAGGAGCAAAAAAGTAAAATAGATTTTAAAACTTACCCAAAAATTTGGGTACAACCCAAAAAAGGAAAGTGATGCATTTTTCAGTTCAAATATATAGCTTTTTTTATCTCCTTTTGAAACCTCCTGTGGAGTGTAGTCATGAAATAGCCATCTGCTAAAGAAAGCCCTAGTTATGTACCAACTCCAGGACTAATTTCCTTTCGTTAGATCTTTTTGTTTTTTTATTCTATATTCTTTAAATGGCCTATTTCCCTGCAAAGCTCATTTTTAAACACCAATCAAATTTCCAAATCACTCTTAACTATTGTGATACATGTAACCATAGGTTAATTAAGTTAGACCCTACTTGCCCCATCTAGAGTTGGTGTTTTTATAAATTCTATTGTTAGACTGTCTGACATGCATCAACATAAGCACGTTGATAAGCATACAAAAATTGGAGGGTGTACCGTCAATGTCATATGGTGGTGGAAAGAATTGTAAGTAACAAAATGATGCAACTGTTATCCCTGCACAGGGAAAGAAAGTCCGAGAAATATCATAATCAAGCATCAAATAACAGGATGTTAAGTTTCTAAAAGCAAGTGTATAACAGACACAAACCTAAAAGACCTCCTGCAAATACATCTTGCCAATGATGCCAATAGTCATCAACTCGTGAGACACCAACTAAGGCTGCAACAAGTAAGGGGAATATAACAATACAAAGCTTTGCGACATGGCCCCTTTGATCAAATACCCTGACCTTTCCTGCCATGTACCATGATAGAAAACCAAGACCAGCAAAGGACCCTACATGTTGGAGAACAAAATTTTAATATGCCTCTGGTGCACAACAAGAAGATCACACCTAAATGTCCCATCACATATGCAATGGGTAAAAAAAAAAGAACATAATGAATCAGGTTAAAGTGCACATATGCAATGGGTAAAAAAAAAGAACATAATGAATCAGGTTAAAGTGCACATATATGCTCATTAAGAATTCTGAATGTTGAATCTTGCTGAATCTTGCATGCTGAATGATTGCAGAGTACCCAAGATAAGGATCACCAATATTTTTCCTTCTCCTACATGGAAGGCGACATGGTTTCCATGGAGAGGTGCAACTAGAATCACCTAATAACTTGCATTTGAACCTCTAATGAACCTTCAGATGCTACTGTAAAGTGTACTTATAATCATAGGCAGGAGCCAAATGGGAATAGCTTTCCTGATGGATTAAGTAGGCTCATGTAAGACAGGCAAATAAGATGTGTGTCCACTTGGAAAACTTACAAGATGTGTGTCCACTTGGGAAACTTTTATGTCCTTCTTTAATAACGGATTTCAATCCAGTACACATGACGTTACTCGTGACAGGATCAAAAACCTGAGAGTGCAATTTGATAGTAATAGAACACATCAGCATTGGTGAGAGTTGCTTAGCCTTATAACCTGCAAAAGGGTAGAGCACCATAAGGTTCTGAGAACTCACCCCTTTGCCATCAGGGAAGCAGCGCCAGAAGAAGTCTGGACGAGGTCGACCAACAGCATCTTTGATCGCATCAGTTAAGACTCCTGTTACAAGTACTGAAAACAGAAGACCTGGCAACAATTGAGGAGATAAATTAAGTCATTCTGTCATCTTTCCACGAGGCAACCAGACAAGGATATTTTACAGATAATATTTACCTAGTACGGCTTGATGCAGATCATAAACATCCTTTCTAACAAAGTAGTATATGAGTATGACTGCAAGTGGCAATAATATTGCAATAATCTGTTAAAAGGAAGAGCAGCAACCATTCAGTATTTTCATCTGACAATCTAGAAAAATTAAAGGTGTTAAAGTGACTACTACAGAATATCCATGGAAGTCTGCCTACCGGAACAGCCCACAAGGGAATAGTATTTTCTTGCAAAGGATACTTAAGGTCTTCCATCATTTCCTCCCCGACAAAGCGATGGAATGGTTCTATCACATTCAGAACAACTTCCATGATGATGAGAAATAACAAAACAAGCCAATCATGCATGTGAATCCTTGCCACTTTTGCTCCATGGGACCTTATAGTGTGGGCACCTAGTTGGATTTCTGGCATCTCCCCTAAATTATGCAAACAAAAATATTAGACATGGTGTGAAGAAATACAACCATGAAGAAGTAAAGATAAGAAAATCACTTTTCAACATGAACCTGTTGATGAGAAAGCTAACAAGAACACTCTCGAATATAGGCTGCTAAAAGATCACATAGAAAAGGCAATTATATGAAGAAAGAATAAGTGCAATTTTTCTCATTGCACTTGATCAATGGAAAAGACTAAGGTGAATACAGGGGAGAGGAGGGATTATTGTGCTATCGTCTCTATCATAGAGATGTAAATGTTACTCATAAGCATCTATAACAGGCATGGGCATACATATTGTAAACCCTAATCTGATTATCTTCAACTGTTTTTTTTCTGAATTCAACTTATAAAAGTAACGATGATGAAAGAAAATTAAGTGGTGAAATTATATCTACAACGAGGACCGGTGTTCAGTCTTTCACCAAAAGGATTAGAGAAAGATGTTGGTAACTAAAAGCATGTAACCTATAGACCAAAATAATTATCATCGATTGAGGTTTTGAAGACATAGATGTGTTGTCCCCTCGTTCAGCTGGCTATTCTTGCTATTAATATTTCAAATTCCAAGAACTACGAACATAACTTGAGAAGAGTACTGATCCAGTTCATAAGAGTAACGGGAGTCATGAAGTTAAAACTCACAAGCAACTAATCTCATGAGTACTACCTTGTAGTTGGACAAGGGTATGTGAACATCGACGAAGAATGCAGGTAATGTACCAAAAAATATTTGGTAATCTTTAGAAGGTTTCGTCAAAAAGTAATTATAAATCTTCAGTCCAAGGACCAATATAAACGTGGATTACAACAGTAGCTAAATTAGTAGCTCTTTTGCCAGAAAGTACAGATGGTATTATTGGAAATAATGAGGAAATTAGTGAACAATAGAGACAGTAGTGCAATGGGATTACCTCTGTGAGACTAGTATTCTGATAGTGTTCGGAAGTATACTTGGCCTGCATTGGAGAGAGAGTAATATAGCATCAAGCGATAAGCAAATACAAACAGTTCATCAAAATAACAAGCCTTGCCACTAAACCAGCAGCTAATAAAAAGGTCATGTAGCTAGGAGCCATAATTATATCCTTCATTTCTATCAAAAAATTGGGTGTCTTTCAAATTCAACTGATCTCAGGGGCCGTTTACCCAAATGCTTACCTGGTAAGCGCTTATCGGTAGTAGTCAACACTATAATCTATTTTACCAGGTAAGATTGTAGTATATTAAAACGATATTGTATGCAACAATGTACCTAGTAAACGCTTACCCGGGTAAGAGTCCCCACCATCACTTACCGGGTAAGACTCTATATCCTTAGCATCGCTTTTACCGGGTAAGATTTTCGGCCCTTGCCATGTGCACCAGGTGAGAAAAATTACCCAATCAGCACTTACCGGGTAAGTGTTTAGTAAACGGCCCCTCACTGAGCATCCCATTTAGCTTTTACTTCAGACCCAAAAGCCCAATTAGCTTTTTTTGCTTAAGAACTGATGGAGTCAATAGATGTGTTACTATTCCCATAAACATAAGATATTTTGAATTTCTTCATCTTTCACTACAGAGTTCATCCATCCTTTTCTATCCAAGGTTAAATATGATAGGGACAAAAATATCCAAAATTCCTTGAGATATAGTAGAAATTATTCTAGTACAACACGTTGTAGCTTTAGTTGGTAATCCCCAATAACCTTTGAATATAATTGGTTGTGAAAAATACTCGTTATGCATGACAGCCGTTGCTGATGAACATACAGAATTTTACAAAGCATATACAAAAAACTTGTGAAAGGAGAATGTGTGCTCTTCGGATGTCTGCTACATTATTGTGCAAAGAAAAAGGAAGGAGCTCTATCTATGAGATATTTGAGTTGGTGACAATCAAAACACAACCCCTGAAATCAATAGGTAGGTGTACTTGGCTTCACAATGATCTTGCCCCTTCAAGAAATGTTTATGCTCTCTTTCAGTTCTAGAGTTTCTTTGGATACAGTTCTAGAGTTTTGTTGAGGATATAAGTGCAAGTGGTATGATGTGTGATTCCTTTTCTGGAAAAGAAACTAGACAAATAGGGGTTGAGAAATTCAGATTCATGATCATTTTGCTAACTTTCAAAATGACATGAAAGTTTTTTTTCAAGTACTTATTAAATGCTTTAGCTTGAGCACATGTACATTTTTTGCTAACCATCAGACAGATCCAGGTCACTCTACAAGGCCATCCACAATTGTGAGAAAGATGCTACTGATAGCAGAATGCTTATATGGACCCCACATCCATGTCAATAATAATAATATCACGCTTATTCAATTATAATTCTTTCAACGCAAGCTATTCAAGTGTTCAAAACGTTGGTGCAAAGAATTGGCTCCTCTCTTGTGCAGAAGACAGAATTACCAGTGTGCGTAGAAGTTACAAACTGAATAGAAGAATGCTCGAGTTGTTCAAGGGTGTGAATGTAAAGAACAAATGACCTGTCCTGGAAATTTCATGGATACCTATGTAGTTGAGAACACTATTAGCATTGATATTTCCTCCGAAAGGAATAGATCTATGCTTGAGACTTGAGTTAGAATTTTTAACACATTTATTCTTATTAAGATCTTATTACTCCACTTTTTTCCTTTCACATTCATTTATAGCTGGTACTTATTTTCAACCTACTACAAATACTTGCACATAAAGACAGATTTCTTTGAATACATAGGGAATGCATAATGCCTTGCCCACACTCAAGAGTAGCTATCCTAAAACTGCCCAACATCTATATTACTTTCAATGTATGCTTTATATGTATGTATTGTGTATAAATATCCAATACAAATGCATATGCACCACGACCATTGCCATAGATTTTCTGATCTCAATGGATTCAAAGTGTGTCCCAAAAAATACTCTATCCATCCCAAAATAAATGCAAACTGTTTGACATGACACATAGTCGAATGAATGTTTTTTGACTATTTGTTAACTAAATGAAATACACCTCAACAAGGACAAAGTATAAGAATCCTGTGGACCAAAATCTAGAATACTAGCATTTTGTAATAGGTACTAACTGAAGAAGAGGTGAATTTGAATTAGAAACTTACCAAAATGAAAACTTTGCTCTTATTTTGGAACAAACACGAAAAGCATTCTGGAATGGAGGGAGTAACAAGCCTCTTCCAGTGATTAAAGAACTTCCAGAAAATAAAAAAGTGTTCTGAAGGATTCAGATGAAACATGTTTCCCTTGCAATATTTGTCTCATAACTTCTATCACCAAATAACAGATTCATCTAATCTTATATTTCCTCACCTACATTCCAAAGAGGGAAAAAAGATTGGTTCTGTTGTAATGGCAGGACAGGGCACTTGAACATCAGATTGAGATGAATCAGGCTCTTCAGCAGAAATTAAACTGGCCACTATCTATAGTAGCAAAGCATTGAGGAAAAAGTTTTCTCAGTTACAAAGTTAATCCTAGTTTCCTCTCCTAAAAATTAAAGATAGACACGAGTAGGTCCATATTTAAATTTTCAGTAGTTAATTGGCCACATAAATTGGTGCGCAAGATGCCGAAAACACTATTCAAACGACAGTAACCTCCAGAAAATCAAACTGCAATTGGAAATTCTCCAAAACGAGAACCGAGATGGTTAACTCAACTCTCAACACTAATGCATAATAACATTAATTTTAAGTTCGAGATGCATTAAATAAATAAATAAAAAATGTTCAATTCTAGCGCAGAATTAGCTCATAAATTCAAAATGTTTAGTGAATCTGTGAACCTGACAACACAAATTACATAGATTTTCATATCATCAGTTATCAGTACCTGAAAGAAGCTGAAGAAAATCGTCTCTACGCGAAGCCTCAAGCCTCTGCAACTAGGCAAATTGAGTTCACTCTGTGTGTGTGTGAGAGAAAGATTAGAAAATCCTCATTCCTGAAACGGCATGGCGGAGAAAGGTGGGGGGCACAGGGGCACACAGTGACACAGAGTCAAAAAGAAGTGACCGATTGAGACTTGAAAGGCAAAGCATGCATAATAGGAGAGGAGATGGACGCATTACTTTATTCCACCCAACTACCGGTTTAAGATAAAAAGCGATATTCCCATTATACATTCTTTTTCCAAACAAAAAGAAATCAAGGGGTGTTTGTTTTAACAAGTTATCTTTTTTTTCTATAAAAGTATTTATCAATTTATTATAAGTTAAGAGGTTTTAACTTTTTTTAAAACTTCTTATTATCGGTTTGGTATCGGTATAAGTTGTTTATCCAAACACTAAAAAATGCTTATTAGCATTGTCATACAAAAATAAGTCAATAAGTTGTTTTTATAAGCAATCCCGAACACCCAGTAAATAAAAAAAAATTATTAATATAAGATTTACATTTGTTATGATGGTGTTAAATTAACGGATAGTTTACAACATATTTGTGACGTGTAGACAAGACAAACAAATCAGATAGAATTTGAAGACCCGATTTATGAGCCCCAAGATTTAGAGAAAAACTTGCATCTCAGCGAAATCCAACCAAATAAGCGGGATTAAATTTCACCTAGAAACATCTTCACTCGAGACGACACCTTTGAACACACGAGAATTCCTATTCCTCCAAATGAAATTCACGGCAATCCAAATAACTGGCTTGACAAAAACATTTTAAAGAAGTAGTCATTTGACTGCCACCATCGGAAAGGGGAAAAAAAACTAACTCCAAAACTGTAGATGATAAAGCACAATCAAGATTTTACTGATTAATGATGTTTACCTATATGACCTTAGCATGTAGAGAAGGCAATGGTCTACAGTCACTGTTCTTGCGGTACATCAGACATAGAATCAAATTGAGATCGATACCTCTTTTGTTTAACTAATTCAGCACCGGAATCCAATTGTTCAAGGTTAATAAATTTCTTTTAGCTTTTCAAAAACAAATTGTTAAAGGTCAATATTTTCTTTTACTTACATTTGGGATATCAGTTTTTCATTCTTATTTGCAAGTTTCGAGAACACGTGTTTTTTTTTCTTCATTTTTTTTCCTTTTCTTTCTTTCTTAGAGGGTGTTTGAGTTTGCTTATTTTATGTGTTTTTTGACTTATTTCAGTTTGACACTAGTGATAAGCTAAATGCTAGTGTTTAGATGAGAAAAAATAAAATTGTTTATACCGGTGTCAAACCGATAATAAACAGTTTTTGATAAGTTTTCCTGACTTGTGAAAATCTGCTTATTACTAATTTACCATTTTAATCTTGTTTTATTAATGTTTGTTAATTATTAATCTTATTCATATAATTTTTTGTTAAAAATATTATTATAAATGATGAAAAATAAATTTTTACGTGTTAAAAAATAAAATAAGCTAATAAACAATCTCAAACACTCTCATAAGTCAATAATATGAAAGATTGTCATTTTTTGTCATTTTACGTATATAAGCAAAATTTGTCAAACACTAAAAAACAATTTATCAGCTTATTACTTTTGGTACCGCTATAAGCTAATCCAAACATTTTTTTATAAAATTCCGGTTTGATACCACATAAGTTAATAATCACTTTTATAAATTAAAAAAAGCATAAGTTGTTTTAAATAAACAATCTCAAACACCCCCCTTAATTTCTTTTTCGAGAACATGATATTTATCTATTTTGTATAGCATTTAGTTAATTAGATAGAATATATAACAAAAATACTAAAAATGGTCAAATTATCTCTTAAAACATGTTGCAGGTTTTTATATTATATAATAGTTATAAATTACATAAATCAATTAAATAGATAAAACACTTAATTATAAATATTTATACATTATTTATACACCACAAAATATTCATATATTTTATCTATATCTATACTATATTATAAAGCATTTGACAAAAACTCTTAAAAACAATTTTTTATATAAGAAGTATTGTTTATTGATGCATATTATTTAAAATTTAAGATTACAAGTAAATTGTGCATGAGTACAACTTATTAAAGCTTCATACTTGGATTCGTCTAACTAACTACAGATAAACATAATCAAATATTGGATAAACATCTCATTTTAAATATAAAAAATCTAAAATATAATTAGGATAATCCTAACAGAATACTTAGTTATTATTTTTATATAAAAATTTATTATTAAACCTAAATTAAATTTCATTGTTACTAAACCTAAATTAAATTGTAATTAAAAATTTAATTAAGAAAATTACACCAAAACACAAAAACTTTTAAAAAAGATTAATTTAATACTGATATCGATATTTTTTTCAAAATTTATGATATTTTTAAATTTATATTTTATTAAAAAATAAATACATTATCACTTTCTTAAAACCAATGTTTATTTAAAATTCAAGATTACAAATAAGTTATGCATAATTACAATTTATTAAAGCTTGATGTTTGAATTCGTATAACTAATTGCGGATAAACATAATCAAATAGATGATAAACATCTTATTTTAAAATATAAAAAATCTAAAATATAATTAGAATAATTATCGAGTTCCAACAAAATAAATAACTATTATATTTATAAGCAAATTATATTATTAAACTAAATATAAATTACTTCATTATTGTACCTAAATTAAATTATAATTAAAAAATTGAATTAAAAAATTACACAAAAAATGATGAATTTTAAATGGTTAATTTTATATTAATATCAATATATTTTTGTCAAATTTTTATGATATCTTCAAACTTATATTTTATTCAAAAATAAAAACATTATCGCTTTCTCAAAATCACATAAGATTATATTATAATATCGACTGAAATAAAGAGTAAAATGAAATATTAAAATCAAGATGTATTTCGCTGCATTGCGCAAGTACCCTTCTAGTTATATTATAAAACATTTGACAAAAACTCTTAAAAACAATTTTTTATGCATAAAATGTTGTTTATTGATGCATATTACTTACAATTCAAGATTACAAGTAAAATGTGTGTGCGTACATCTTATTAAAGCTTCATGTTTAAATTCGTGTAACTAACTGCAGATAAACATAATTAAATACATGATAAACATCATTTTAAGTATAAAAAAGCTAAAATATAATTAAGATAATAATTGAGTTCTAATAGAATACTTAATTATTATCTTAAAAAATTATTTTATTAAACAAAAAATAAATTAGTTTATTTTTTCAATTAAATTATAATAAAAAAATGAATTACAGAAATTACACAAAAATAAACTTTTAAATAGTTAATTTGATATATCCCTTTCTTTTTCAAAATTTTATAATATTTTTAAATTTATATTTCATTTAAAAATAAAAAGATTTTCCTTTTTCTCAAAACTACATAAAATCACATTATAACATCGATAGAACCAAAATATAAAATAAAAAATTAAAATCAAGATAAATCTTGTTGCATTATGCGAATATCCTTCTATTATTTTATAAATGCTCACGTGAATAGATGCAAATTGGTGTATTTTAATTTTTAAACCATTTACATTTTTAACCACACAAGAAGTTGGGCCCTGAGCCATTCTGACTACCAAAAACCGACCAAACCCAGTAACCATATATGGTGTGAACCACATGCCATGGACCCGAGTCCACGGCTTTTGTATCATAAAAATGGAAAAACCTTATGAAAGAGGTCACCTTTTTATGATCCATAACTTATTTATTTTCGGACAACCAAAAGGCTCTAAACTCACGATATTTGTGGGTTTAAGATTTAAGATTAACGGTATAGATGGAGGTTTAAACGAGAACACCTTCATTTTATGAGAACATGAAAACACTTTTATCGTATGTGATAGTACACGTGACGAGATCTGGTGGTGTGCAGACGACGTGCCAACAACTTAGTCGCATCAGAGGTCATCTGCGTCTATGATTTAATATCACATGTGATTGATTATAGTATCACATCAAGAACACCCTTATCACATGTGATGATACACGTGAGTGGGTTTAGTAGTGTAAGAGTGACTTGACCCGCAACCTAGATCACGTCAAAAGTCATCCACATCTCTAGTTTAATATGATATGTCATAAAATATAATATCACATGTGATAAGAGGACAATCATATTTTCCAACTCCTTGTATTGTCACTAGAATTGAGAATGATTTTTCTTGTTAAACTAGTTGTGTACTCGTACAATGCGGCGGGAGCCGTGAATTTTAAYGATTTTGAAGTTTCACTGGTTTTATTAGAGAAGATTTAACGATGATATAAGTTACACTTGGTCTTTACATATTAATACAATTTGAATAAATAAGAGTTATGGTTCCAATTACAGTCTATCGATGAAAAAAAATTGTATGACAGTTTAAAATCTAATATGTTTAAAATACAACATATTTAAACGACTCCACAAATGTGTTCGATTTACACCAAGAGCAAAGAATCAAGAGATCGAGAGCGAGACCGAGAGTTCTAGAACAATTGAATGAGAGAACTTTTAATAACTCATGGTGAATATCAGTTTGAATCTCACCTTAGGGGATTGAGAGAAGACATAGAGGTATGAGAGGGTGAACGCATGAGTGAAAAGTGTCAAAAGTATCCTGCGAACATGAAAAGAATAGGTAATAATGTGTATTGGTAACTTGCACTATATGTTATTTTAATTGTAGATTAAGAGATTTTAAGATTGAATGCATAAAGCAGTAGTACTTAATGCATTATGAGTTGTTTTTAAGACTTTGTGCATAAACGTATAGTACTTTGTGCATTAAAAATTGTTTTTAAAACTTTTGATAAATCTGGTTTATAAGGTAGTATAGATAATTGAAAGAAAATAGATTAAATATTTAATTTCAATTAGAAAAAAATAATAGGTATCATGACCAAAATATGTTAGGTCACATATTTTTTATTCGTGTCCAAACAACTATACAAGTGAGAGATAATAAAATCAAGTACATATAATAACGTAAATGCATAAAATGTAAAGAACATGTTACGGTTAGTGACGTGAAAAACATCGTAAGTAGGCAAAACCTACATGTTATGTCATATCATTGTTCCGCTAGTGTAAAATAACTGATGTCAAGGAACGTCGTACAAAGAGGTTGTTGATTACAATTTGCT